ATAAAAATGTAAAAAAAACTTTCCTTTTTTTACATACACCTCTTATTGCTTGTTTTGTAAATTTAAAACTTAACAAAAATTCCTTTTTACAATAAAAAAATTAATTAAAAAATAAATATTAATTCTTTCACCATCTAAATATAATTATAAATCAAAATTTAATTTTCTTCTGTAATTAACAAACAAAAAAAGATTTCCTTCTTTTGAATAGGTATTTTTTGGGGGGATGTTCGCGGCTCCGCGTACTGCGTAGAACTGCCCTCCCCTCCTTTTTTATTGTTGATCTTGTAGGTCCAGTGCGGCACCGTTGCTTGACATTGATGTTGTTACTTAACAACTATGTTGACAGAAAACATAGCTATTGGATTTAGAAGTATTAATGTGTCTTTTCCACACCATATTCTCTTGGAACTCGGCTATATGCAAAATGGAACAGGAAATATTAGTGAAGGATATAATTTACGGCCATAACAAGATCATACATTCATGAAATATGCACTACAGTCTCTCAAGTATCTATAGAGTATGTAATACATTGGTGGAAACTGAACTCGTAAAACCAACTCCTTATAAATATTTTTTAAAATCTCTGAACTGTAACTTTGAATTTACTCTTAACACGAATATCGTAATAATATAAGAGAGAAGAGAAAGGCTGAATCTCATTGATTGTTCAGAACAGACTCAAAAATGCGGTGAATTTCCATTTATTTCTCCCGTGAAAGAATTCAAGGAGGAATTGAAAAACGGTTCAACTGGCACCCTTAGATGATTAACTACCCAATTAATTTTAATTTTATTGAAAATCAATTACTTCTCTAATTAAATTATTATAATAAATTTCTCTAAGCGTTTTTGGTAACGGAACCATTCACTCCGAAGACATCAAAGAGAAATCTTGTTATTTATATTTTTTATTTTATGAAATAATAAAGTAATATTATGATGATTGAACCCTTTCTCAAAATCACACAAGAAAAATTGATTGAAGGTTTTCTCGTGAAATGTACGAAGTGGTGAACTTGTAATTTGGTTCTTACCGATCAGTTTGGCCTTCCTCGCTGTCACAGCCACCTTCAGAGTTGTGTCCCAATTTTTTCTTCTAAACATAAAAGATAAAAAACGAGAAAATTTAGCCAGTTCTTGCAGAAAAGCAATGTAGTTGTGCCCATGCCTGTGTTAATGGGGGCAGAACCCGCAAAAATGAAAAATGGGAAAAGGTTTAGAAAATGTGAAAATATGTATCCGAAATAAATGTTTAAACTTAAACTTCAGCAGCTTTAGTCTTCTTCTAACCTTTGACGGGCATTGCTCCTTTTTTTCTTGCTTTTTTGGTGTTGGCCATGAATTGGACTTCATTTCTTTTCAGCCGGCGGAAAACAAGTCCCATCGTAAATTGTAATAAATTATAGTAAGAAGTGGTCGGGATTTTCAAATTTGAAGTTAAAGCATCTGGCACTGGTGTTCCTGCACGGGATAATGCCGGTTGGTCCGATTTTTTTTCATATTGACTATTGGATTCACTTTCATGAATATGCGTTCAGTCCTACCCATTGTTGGAACATTAACACGAGTTTATGCTAATAAACAAGAATTAGGAAACAATTCGTCGATTTCAAAGCAAAAACAACAACGTTGACAGAAACCGCACTAAAAACAATAAAAGTAACGGTTTTTAGCGAAACAAAACAACAGTAACGTCATTCAAGAAAGTTACAACAAAGTTATAACCATGGACATTATAACCATCTGATATACCGAGGGAAAAAAGAAGATTTCCTCAACGAACTAGATAATGAGCGGTTGCGTCACCGTAGGTAATTTCAGCAGGGTTTCCTGTAAAATCTATTTTTACAACGTTTTTGATCATGTTGGTACCTATTTCTAGATTTATAACCGCTCAATCATTTTCCGTGTTTATTTTTAGCGTATCAAGGGGTTTATTATGCTGTAACAGCTTTTTGATTACCTAAGTAGAACATTTTTTTACAAATTTTTGGGAAAAAGACCTTTTAGTAGTAAATTTAGGCAGTTTAGGCAATCAACGAGTAGTTTGAAATATTTTATTTTTATTTTCTCTCCATAATACAGAGTTATTTTGATGATAAACACACCTATAGATAAAAATTAAGTTGGCTGGACCATTGGTTTCCAAGAAAAAGGTACCTGAAAAAAGCCGATTTTATTGAGGGACATCTAAAGACTCAAAAACTATAAAAGAAACTTATCATACATACATTTGTGAAGACCTCGTAAATGAAAGAATAGCTTAATGAGAAGTTATTTACATCAGCTATCTAGGTGTTAAACAATTCAATTTGGCCAACAGCTGGGCTATTGCATTTTTTGCTAATCTTTAAAAATTTCTGAAGCTAGTGTTAGAACCTCTAGATGTCATTTTTAAATTTTGGCTGTAAAACCTGTGTTATAATATCGACTATCACATAAGCATAGATGTCATTAGTAATTTTACCCATTATTCAAGTTATGGAATAACCAAACGCCCCTCAGACCAACACGTCAGCAATGTCTGGCGGGTCCAGACGGCCGCCCATCATCTTAATCAGCATTTCTTTAAACTAGTATACAAACCCTAATCCCCAAATATCCTTGCCTTACTCTTACGATAGCCTTCTGCCCGTCACTCTGTCGGTTTAAAATTAAACATTGTACAGTTTTAACAATAACGTTTCTTCTTTTTTTGTTTTTTAAAGTCTTCTTTGAGCGATTACTTAACTTTCATCTTTTTTAATAAAGTAAAACAAAATTCTTTTACGATCTTTCGAAAGTGTAAGTGTAATTTAAATGTCAAAGCGAACCTGGTTTTGTCATTTGCGATAATTTCCTTTTGAAAAGTTTCTTTGCTGTTACCAAGATTAAAGACTACCGGTTACCTTCTTGTTTCCCAAATGTCAGTTTGCAATTCATAAAGCCTGGCTGAAGCGGAACCCGAAACGCTTGGCTTTTTTAATTTTGCATTTCACGTGGTCTGTAATATAATATATTGGGATCGTTAGAGGAAAAGAAACCCCCCCCCCAAAAAAAAAAGGCTAATGTAGTTGTTCATCTGTTTCTTTTCTATAAAAGAAATTTTTGATAAAACCTACTATCTTCTATAAACTAACGTTTTATACTAACAAGAGAAAACTACTAACATGGAATCAACGATTTTCATGAAATGTTTGCAAGCGTTCTCGCCAATTGGCTATATTTTTTATTAGTTATTCAGAGATCGTGAGATGCGGTCTGTGTGACGCCCTCAATTTACAAATGAAATCGAAAATAACAAAACAATACCATATACTCGTAATAAAGCAACGAGATGGCACATTAATCACAGATTGTCAACAAAAATCAAGAAACCCAGATCGGTACCTCAATTTTACATCACACCATCCTCTTCACACAATAATAAACACGGCCAAAGGACTATTTCTCAAAATTATTATCCTCAGTCATGAATCATTTCACCACAAGAACATAAAGATATACAGACTCCACAACAATTACTACCCTAAACACATAATCAACAGAATAATCAACAACTACAACTCAACACTAACCCCATCCATTATTAATAATAATACTAGATCAAATCTATCAAATACAGACAAACCAACATACATTTCCATGCCATTCATTCACGGGCTATCACTTAAATTAAACACATTTCTCTTTTCCGATAACTTTAAAATTGCTTGCAAAAACTATAAAACAATTCACACACTTTTTTCCAAAATTAAAGATCCCACACCAGTAACAAATAAATCTGATGTAATTTACAAAATCAATTGTTAAAATTGTCCGGCAACTTACGTCGTTAAGAGAGTAATACAACATATCTATGATTGCAAAAAACCCAAGCAAAATCATACAGCCCTCGCTACCCACCATTTTGAACATAAACACAATTTCGACTTCAACAATCCAAAAATATTACACACAGAATAAAACAAACAAAGGTTACGTTAACTTTTTAGAAACAATTTTTACATCAACAGAGATAAACACAGCATCAATTACAGAACAGACACATGTAAACTCAGTCGCAGCTAGGCCAATATAATTAATCAATATCGATAACATACATGTCATCATCACATCACATAAAACATATAATCTACATATAACATATAAAACAATCATCACATTCCACACATCAAACATTTCTACATAGTCTAATTCTTCAACAATTTGGCATTCCTTTCCCTAATAATCCCCGTGTCTATACAATCCTGAAAGGATAATCAGGCCGAACCATTATCCACGTTTTTCCCATTGTCGGCTCCTTTCGCCTCAAAGAAGCCGACTCCTCAAATAAAAATATCATTCTATCCAGACTTCCTTCCCCCACTCCTTCAAAATCCAACGTATATATACATAAAACAGCAATATCTCACTGACACTTTCAACACGACACACAAGAATGGCCCAATTTTGCCGAAAACAAACACTTTCAGCGAGTACAAATACTTCGATTGCATATAAAATTTTTTTTTTTGCATTGTATAAATTCATTTTTTTCCACATCCTACATGTATTTCTTAAATTTAAACAATGTTCGTAAATACCAGGACCTGAAGATGATCTCAATAAAGATAATTCGATAAAGAAAATGTTTTTCTAAAACCTACGTCACACCAGACTGCATCTCCCGATCTCCGAATAATCATTGACTAACGATCAGTAAACACCACATATTTTTTATTAGTTCTGATTTCAGGTAAAATTGACATAAAAGTTTGAAAACTGATTGCTAAAATCATTTTTTCATTAAAAAATTAATTTTCGGCCAGGTAAATCACTATAAAAATTGTTCACCAAAGACGGTGGTGTGACTAAAGGTTTCACCAAAGTCAACATATCATTTTAAAAGATGGGACAAAAATAACTCTAACTTTTTTATTTTCAATATAACATCAACAAATACGAATCTTTTAATCAATTTCCAAGGGCACATAAGGGGTTGAATGTTTTTTATCTGAAATAAGAATCTTCCGTCGATTCGATATCCCTTCGATCTCCTCGGTGGAGTTATTCCGAACGAAGCAAAAGGGCGAGGAAAGCTCTAGGAAAATTGTGTAAATGTTATTACTATCGATTGCAAAATGTAATCTTCCTCGTCAAAACAATTAATATCAAAAGCTGGGTTTGTTTGTTCAAATAATATTCGTGTTTAGTCAAGTATCGGGCCAACTTTAATTACACACCTTTGTGTCGTAACCGTCATCAATCCTTCAAAGGAAACTCCATTAACTATAAATTTTCAACCTTGGTGAAAGAATGGGGTTGGGAGCGAACCGAGAACGAATGCCGAGGTTTCAGTACTCGTCAGTATACGACGAAAGCGTCCTACTTAATCGACGAGAGTGCCTGCAGTCTGGTAAACTCGAGTTAACGAAATTCTATAATAAAACAGTTCCAATCCTATAACAGGCTCTTGAAGTAGAGACTTTTCATCAACACTGGTTTGTTAGGACAATTAAAATTAAACGTTTAAAAGCAGACGTTTGCACAGATTGAAGTAAGTTGCTGAAAATTATGTCTTCAGTCTGCTAAGCACATAAACCTCTCTATTCACATATTCACTTTATTCTCAACTTGTACAAATAGACGTTTTTGAACATATGCGAAACACACTGGCCACGTTACTCAAGTAAGTAAACATGTATTTATTTTCATAAAATTAGTTTACAATAACATTTACAATTACGCTATTAAAGAGAATTTGCATAACGTGTCCACTATTTCAAGGTCACCGTTATATGTAACGTGTTGCAAAAACTTTGACGTTGTTTGAAGACATTTTGCATAACGGATGTTGCCGCTCAGTTTCCTGAGAAGTTTGCGCTAGTTCGGGTCATAGTCGATGTACCAAGCTTGTAAGTGAACGCACGGATTTTTCGGATAGTATAGATTTTCTTGTGTCCCATGGATTTTCTCTTGATCTCTGACGATAGCTGTGCAAATGCCGAGGACCTGATAGTTGTAGAAGCTCAAATGTACAAAGTAAAAATTAATTGCCGGGCGATTCAGGGCAAGTTGGGTTTAAATGAAATAGAGGAAGAAAAATGTCAAACTTAACAACAAACTTTTAGCTTAGTTTAGTAATTTTAGAAAACATTAAAATTATACAGAGCAGTATACGATATAAATACTCATAACCACATTCTATGCCTGTCTGAATTTCATCTTTTAAATTGTATTTATGAGGTTCAACCAAATTGTTGTTTTACACAATTGCTGTGGTTTTATTGAAGGAAAGATGTATAAGGTTTTCTGTATTTCTAGCTATCATTCCTGCTTGCATGTAAATAAAACAGCTAAATATTTAAATGTTGGAACACCAAATGTACATAAATTCATAGGAGTCGGAATTCATGAAAAACATCTTCGAATTGTAAAATGTTATCTGTAAAGCAATCAATTTTATTATATTTCTACATTTGTAATATATTTTTTTTAAATTGGACAATGTGTCCAACAAAAACTACTTTTTTGACTTTACCGTCACTCTTTAACAAGCACGCTATTCAAATACGAACAACGTAAGAAGCTAATTCAGATAGTGTTCCGTTAAATCAGCGCATGCCCACTCACATTAATTTTACGTTATCATTCACGCAAAATCCCCCTATTAAAATGCCCTCTATTTTCATGTCGAAATGATACCCGTACTACAAATATTTCATATCATAAAAAATAATAAATGGAGAGAAAACAATCGATGCAAAAATAATACTGTACATAAAGTAAGTGTAATTGGATAAAAAAAGAATAAAAATTGTGTTTACTGTCCTAAACAAACAAAATGTATTTCCATAAGAAAGGACTTTATTACAGAACAATTGATACATGAAGGAGGGATGTGTGTAATATTTCTTTTGTAAAGATCGCGTTTTTCTTTTGTTGACCCTTGTCACTGTCTATTAGACAATGGGTAGATGGATAAATCGATATACATATTTACTTATAAACCTATATCTTGTCCCTGCTAAAGCGTACGAACGTTCGAAGGACAAAATAAATTGGTATTGGGCCAATTTATTACCAACTGAGATCTGCAGTGCCGTAATGAGAACTTATTGCACTCAATTCTGCTGGTACGAACAGTACATCTGGCTTGTATTTGGCTGAGCTCTGGTCCATGGATTGTTTGGTGGAATTGAAGATATTCAATTAAAATTTTTTTCAACAAATTCCATCTTACATACAATACCACTAATAATTTTGTAGGATAAACATGACGGTCTTAGCATTCATGTTATTCCAAAATTGATAAATTGATGGATGCGCGCGTTGAAACTGCCTTCTGGCTAAATTATAAAGAAATTGTACTCTTATTTTATATATTGGATGGACATAACCCCCGAGAAAGTTGGATTTGTAAACTTTCAGATGTATTTTTTTCTATTGGACTTTAAGGTAAAACCTGTATTGCGAAAATGTTGTAAGGTGAATGAAGCTTTTCCAAAGAGACTTACGATTCAAACATTTTCTTTTGATGCTAATACCATTTGAAACTTTAATTACAATCCGTTCTTTTGAAATATATTATCTTATAAAATGTATTCAAGCTTTTTCTACCTTAATGAAAACATAAACATGGCCAAGAAAACGGTTGATTGTACAGCTGAGATTGTCTGGGAGCCGAGAAATTAAACTTATCTCTAAAACTAATTATTATAATACAAAAAAAAAGAAAATTTAGAGCATTTCTTTTTACGGTGCGCGATATACCATAGTCTGAGAAACCACTGTATTAACAAGTATTTATTTCCAAGCAACTTGGATAAACATGGTTGTCTCACTAGATGTCAAACAATTGGACAAGGCAAATGACATTTAACAAACTAATGTCCTTATGTTAAATGAGTGAAATTATCATTTTTGTTTATGATATATGTTATATATGTTTTGTATTTCTTAATTTTTTAATAGTATAAATATTTGTTTTTTGGATGGGAAGCGGATAGAGGGGAATAATGTCCCTGAGACGTTCGAATTTAAATAAATAGCTTTTCATTGACGGTTTGCCGTCCAAAAACCACATATTACATCCAACATCAAACATCAAGTTACCTTGATTTCTTTTTTACGTTAGTTTTGTACCTACAATAAAAAAACTTTCCCTCTTTTATATTTCGATAATATTCCTATTCCCGTGGCGAACCACGTACGATACCCTGGTCTGCATAAGAACAATATGAGACTCAACATAAAAATTTAAATTCAAGATTCAGACTACTAAAAAGACTACTTGACATGGGATTCAAACTTAGATTAACAAAAAAAAAAGACTATACTATGCACTGCTATTACGATGAGGACCTGGAACTATACGGAAACGCTAAGCGTTCCAATCTTAACAGACTCCAAACCCTAAGATCTAAAATTCTTCGAACTTAATGCTCCCTTTTATATCTCTAACCATACAAGCAACTATATTAAGGATTTATAAATCCCATTCATGACCAACCTTGCCCAAAAATTAACCTTTAAACCCGCGAATTATCATCCACAATATTACCTGCCAATTCTTGTCAGGGACTGAAACAACGTTGGCCAAGCGACAACCTAGTTGCCTCATTAATTACACTTTTTGTCTAAGGTCTTGGTTGAGAGGAAAAAGCAAGTGTCCCGAACGGGATGCGAACCCACGACATTCACCTCAATACGCCGCTGCTCTAACTACTCGAACTATCGTGACACTTGCTTTTTATCTCAAACAAGATCTCAGATTAAAAGTATAATTATTAGCTCAATTATGACTACTAAATACATATATGGGTTAGTTGTTTAACATCACAAAATATATTTGCGAAGTAACCCTGTTGGTGAACTAACTACTTCCATCACTCGCCGTTTTTGCTTTACACGACCTTTTGTTTGTCCTTACCTTGTGTGCACGTTCACACAATATACCAATAATTTCTATTTTTGCTTGTTGCATATTTAATGTGGAATTCTAAATAAATAAATGAATAAAAAAAAAAACTACCAAGGAATATCGCGTATCCTAGAGGAGTGAATGTGGACCATATTTATCTTGTTATGGTGTTATGGCAGTTGACAGGATATCGGGATCGTCGGAATATCTAGTACGAGACGCTGCGCTTCCGGCTTTCACGCTGGGGGCAGCGGGGTCTTTTCGGGGGTGTTGTTGCAGGGGGTTCATCTACGCACTGTCCGTTGTTTCAGGCAAGACTCCCGTCGCCAGCGGTGTTTCCGGGAGAGTTTTTCTTTTTCTCCTATTAGCAATTTGACAACCAGAGGTAACTTTTAGAGGTGAGCAAGTTAAGAAAACAGGAGGTATGATAGTGTCGATGACAAAGATGTGTGAAGAAAACCGCAAAGGGCCGGCGATGTTCACTTGAGGTTTTGGCCCATAAATAATAGATACATACATAACATATAAAACATATATA